TTCTCCCATGATAGCGCGAAATATAGCAATATTGTAGCGCTCACTGCACTACAATATTGCCAGAGTTTTTTTTTACAAAAATAGCAATGTGAGTTTGCATTGGTTCATTTTGGAGCCTGCGCACTGCTGCTGCAGGGGCTCAGAATCCATAGTGTTTCGCAGCGGTTCCAGTGTTGCATGTGCCCAGTACTGACATTCATGAAACACTGCACTTACTTACCAGTGACAAATGAGTTTGTAATTGTGGTGTGAATGTCCAATGATGTCCATAAAAACATGGCAGAAGATCTGGACAATGTTTTCAACTGGCTTGATGCTGGAACTGACTGTTCACCATTGAAACATCAACCAATTGTTATTCCAGTCTTGAAACCTTGATAAAACGCTGAAAGAGGTGAGCTTTTGGGTAGCTCACCCAAGAAGAATTATCAGTGCCAGTGAGCTGAGGCATATTTGAAACCAATAGGTGATCAGACCCAACACGCAAACCGCCCCGCAGAGGACTGCGGTAGCGCTGCGGTCATACCGTGGTCAAAGTGACCCGAGCCGTCCCTGCGGTACAGCCGGGCCGCCGCGAGGGGTTCACTGCGGTCTTTTTGGGTCGCAATTGCAGGGAGGCGACCGCAGGGGTTGACCTGCGACGCAGGGATAAGCCAATTGGGCATTTCCTTCCTAATCCTCGCCCAATGGGGACACTAGCACCCCAACAAGCACGATTCAGAACCCCAAACAGCACGATTGAGAACCCCAGAATGGATCTGTCAAGCATGACCGTGAGTACCCTTTTGTTTGATTCTTGTGATCAATGGTGGACTGATGATTTCTTCTGTTATCAGCCATTACAATTCATTGTATTCGAAGTCCCCCACACATCCTTTCAACGACGTCTCTGTGTCTTTTATCAGTTTCTTAATACTATCTCTTGACTCCAATTCCTTCACTTGTCTTTTTATCAGTTATATTTCTTTTTCTTCGCCATGGCTTCGAGTTTGACTTCAAATACTTTAGCGGTCACTGCCACACCAAACACAGACCAAGAGTTACGTACCCGCTCTCCACATCGACTTCAACCATCGCCTGGCTTTGTACTTACGTCACCCGACCTGCGAAGAGCCACCAGTGACGTCGCGCCCAGCTCAGCTACTTGTCAACCTCCAAGCTCATCTAGCCAAATGAGAACTCCTGCTGCAAGTCAGTCCGCGTCCCAGGCCACTAAAAAGCGTAAACAGGCCATCCCGAAGACAAGCCAGGCAAAGAAGAAGAAAGGTTTCAAACTCCAGGTTGGCTTTTTTCTTCGTTTTTCTTATGTACTTACTTGGACTATCACCGCTTTTGTCTTTCTTTTTCTTATGCACTTACTTTGACTATCACCATAGCTGACTTATTGAATTTGACTCAGGTTACTTTGGTTCCAGAGGTGGTTGATGTCGACCAGGAGTCTTCTGCCAATGACGAAGCTGCGAACCAAAAGGAACCACCTAAGAAAGGTGGTGTGACGCTTCTTCTCTCGTATCATGGCAAACCAAGGCACAAGCCGGGCAAGGTAAGTACTTGAATATCATTTGTCTTTTATATCAGTGATTTTTAGCTCTATAATCATACTGATTCCCGCTAGCAGTCTGGTCCTTTCAAGCGTCTGTACCCTTGCCTATGGTGCAACAAGCACGTAACTAGGGGTCGCAAGACCAATTCAAACATGTATGGTCATCGAGACGGCAAACCGGATTGTAACCCTTGTGCTGGACGTGAAAAGGCAATCAAGGCTGGCATGAAACTACCTCCTACCTATCAAGAATTACAGAAAGCCCAAATTGCCAACACAGCCAGTGGGAAGATGATGCAGGCCTTTATCAAGAGACCAGCATTCTCGGTGGAAATCCTTAATGTTCTCCTTGTTATCTGGATTGTCTGCCATGCAATTCCATGGCTGAGATTCTCTGACTTCACTCTGCGAGCCGCTTTCAAGCGGTCTAACCCTGGAGCCAACATGAGATCACCTACCTGGGCTGCTCAAACAGCCAAAAGCCTATACAAATCACTTCATTCAGCTGTCTTGAAGAAAGTCTTGGTAAGTGAAATCGTTTGGTTTTGTCTCACTTATATATGTTAACACATACTAATCAATATTTGTGAATTACAGAATAACTCAAGTTGCATATGGCTAGTGCACGACGTGTGGACAACTAAAGGTAATCACCATGCTTTCATAGCGCTCCTTGCCTGTTATGCCGACAAGTATTTTTGCTTTCAAACTGTCCTGTTGACCCTCAAAATCTTCTCCTGGAATCATTACGGATCATTACTTGCATGCTTCGTTGGACAATATTTAATTTGTCATGGTTTACACAAAAAGATAAGTAAATTCTTCACCTATGACAATACTTCAATCATCTGACCTTGTTCCTTTTTTTATTCATATGATACTTACATTTTAGGGCAGACTACGGACTTGGGATCAAACAATGGCACCATGGCTGCAGAAATGGAGGTAATGTTTGGTGCGGTAGAAGAACCGGTCGTGTGGGACAGTAACACAATGCACGCACGCTGTTACTGCCACAAGTTGGCGTTGGTAGTAAAGGCTGGTCTCAAAGCACTTTCAATCGATCCAGGTCACTCAAAACCGACCACCGACACGACATTACCATTTCCCATCCCTACTGTACAACTCAATAACGGAGACGATGAACTACAAATTGACTCTGGTGATTCTGATATAGAGGACCCCCTTGATGAAACCGACCAAGGCCAGGGTGAAGTTGAAGATGTACTATGCTTGAGCGTAGAACCTACCTCTGACAAACATAAAGGTAACATCTTTGCATCGGCAGTCATCAAGGTTTGTTACTTTTTTCGATTTATCTATTCACCTGATCCTAATCAAAATCTGACACACTCCTCTCAGGTTGATTATGTCAGCAAAAAGATTGCAGGATCTCATTCTCGTCGACTGCAATTCAAAGGACTCGCAAAAGAAGCCGGATTAGACTACAAGACTCCTATCGCAGGCTATGGTATTTGCTGGAATGTTATATATGATTCACGCACCCGAATGTGTGCAGCACAAGATGTAAGTTTCTCAGTTTTCATGTTTTTATCTTGTAAACTTATCAGTCTTAATTTACTTGCTCACAGATAGTTAACAAGATCTTAAGCGCTGATTGCAAATCGTCTCAGTACTTCAAAGGTACTCTCATCCATGCTGATGAGTGGGAGGCAATCAAAGCCCTCAATGGAATACTAGAGGTGATTGTTTACAATTAGGATTCAAGATCCCCAACAAACTAATTCAGTGTTTCTTTTGTAACTCCCATTTGATAGATATTTTCAATAGGCACTAAGCGTATGGAGGGGGACTTTTCTTCAGGAGCCATTGTCTTGGTAGAATATAATCGAATCAAGAAATCTCTTACTGAAGCTCGCAACAAGACACCTTTCATTCCACTCAAGGATATGATCAACGTAATGCAAGATCAGCTGGACTTATACCTTCATGAGGCTTTGGAGTGTAATGCTTTGGTCCTTGCAACTATACTGCACCCTTGATACCAGCTAGCTTTTATCCACAAATTCTATCCCAAACACAAAGAACAAGCAGCTTTATTGATCAACTCTGCTTTTGAATCACAGCTAAAAGATTACTCACCAGACTTGAACCCACCCCAAGGAGATGCACAAACTACTGCCACAGACAACAATGACGACAACGACTTTGACGATTTCACTGCTAGCGCTACTAGAAAGGATGGTATGAAGGCGCAAGAAGCCGAACTGGAAGCCTACTTGATGGGGCAGCGCGAGTTTGACAAGACTCAGACTGCATTAGATTGGTGGGGGGTACAATTGGATTCTCAAGTCTCATGTTATTTGGAACAAATACTAACTTAACTTCATCATTGATTGTATATAGGCTAATCAATTGATATTTCCTGTACTGGCCGTGATGGCAAGGGATTACCTTTCGGTCTTAGGCACCACCTGCCCTGCTGAGCGGGTTTTCTCGTCAGCTGCTGATGTTGCCACCACAGATTGTGGTGGCCTGCTTCCACAAACTATATCTAGATGTGTGTCTTCACGCGAGTGGCTCAAGTGTAATGTAGAGCCTGAAGGAGGCGATTTTGCAGATGCGGTGGCTTATCTAAGGGCGCGTAGATTTTTCCAAACATTGTTTTGCGGACCATAAGCACTGCAAAACTGGATGGCTGTAAAAATACATTTTCCCCAGACAATCTTTAATTTTACGGCACTTTTATTTTTTCAAATGTCTGGGAAAAAAAAACCCGCAAACGTTTGATTGCAAAAGTATACACCTGAACCCCCAAGATATACTTTTCCGATCAATCACTTGCAACATTTAATGTCCGTTAAAGAGGAAGCATGTGAAATTCAATTATTCCAAAGGAATACGTACTTTTACAATCCTTTGTTCACGGTCCATGAAGATTGCAAAAAGAAATCACCGCAAAAATAGTGATTTCAGGCGAAAACATTAATTTCACGACTGTTCCAAAACGCACCAAAAAATGAAAAAAAGCAGCCAAAAGCACAACCATAATGAGTGACTTAGAAAACATAAAATAAATAAAGAGAAAGTGACTAGAAAGAAGAGGAACAGAAGATAAAGAAAAATAACGCAAAAAGAGGCCATCAATAATGTGTAAATGAGTGACTAGAAATAAATAAACAAAAATAAATCAAGAAGGTGCGTCTAAATGAGCAACTAGAGAAAAAGAATAAGCATAAATAAAAGATACACAAAAAGACACAAAAGAAAAAAAGATCAATTTTTCTCCGCCCTTTTACGCTTTGACTTTTGCAAAGTCACCCTTTCAACAGGAGGAGGAACCTCCTCTGGCTTCTCTGTGGTGTCTGCAACCACTGGAGCATGAGTTGTGTCAGCCTCAGCGTTGTTGACGCCGCTGTGACCCTTCAGCTTCAACTTTAATCTGATTTTTTTTATTGACCACAAAAGTAAAGATGGGTTAACGCCTTGACAGTCATCAGTCATTCATTGTGGCTTGCTCACCCATAGGCTTGATGTCAAGGTCCTCATTTGCCTCCTTCAATTTAGGCTTGATGTCAACATCCTCTTTTGCCTTCTTCATATCAGGCTTGGTGTCGAGGTTTGCCTTCTTCATATTAGGCTTGGTGTCGAGGTTGGCCTTCTTCATATTAGGCTTAGGGTCGACCTTGGCCTTCTTCATATTAGGCTTAGGGTTGAGGATGTTGAGGTCCTCATTTGCCTCCTTCAAATCCTTACCACCCGTAGGGATTTGAAGGTTATCTGCATGATATTGTGAACGTCAGTGACAATCACAATCAAGATGAGAAAGAAGGAACACTTGCCTTTTTCTTCTTCTTCCATATTGAGAGAAGTACATTCATCTTCCTCTTTGCCTTCGTCTTCGTCATCTGAAGGGCCAAACAAATCATGCATTTGCAAGTTGTTTAAATGACTATATGGATCATCTTTCTCTTCGACAGATACTTCTGAATCAAGGTCACTAAATATCTCTGCTTTGAATTCTCCATCTTCGGAAGCATCATCTAATTCATATTCCTTTGGTTCCACTACGTCGAGCTTGTCATCTGCCTTTTGTGAAGATGGTTGATTATGCCCTTTTTTGTTTTTGCCAATAGACTTACCTATTTTTTTGGCCGCAGTCTCCATTATCAACGTCTCTTCAGCATTGGATTCGCGTGAATACATCACCCAGGCAGTATTAGGTATAGCGCCTCTAATAGTATCCAACTCACTGCTAACCAACGTTGCATTACCTCCATTCGTCATGTCGTTGTGAAGCCAGACCCCAGTGAGACCGCCGACAGTCCTGAGCACTCTACACCAATAGTGACACTACAAGAAAGATAATATTTTCTGGGCAGAAAATTAAATTATTGATACACAAAAATATTGAGAGGCCAGGAGAAGGGCAAAAAATGAATAAAAATATGCATCTTGTTCCCTGCGGTGAGAGCTTCACTCTCCATATTTTTCCATATTTTTACAGTCCGTATTGATAAGTGTACTAACAATAAACCTTCACAATCATCCAATTACAACCTGTAACAAGCACTGAGATTTGGCTCATTAGTGTTTAGAGAAACTTTTGATTTCTGAAAATACTCATAACTTTTTCAATTCCGGTCCAAAACGCTCGATTTTGGGTGCATTGGTAAGCTGGAATTGTCCTCCAAATAGTTCATAATAGGACCACACAGCATGCTGGTCTGCTAAAAAAGATATAATCTTTTTTGTACATTTGTACATACAGATCCATAGAATGATTGTCATACTAGCTACATAGTTCTGA